CATGCTTGGTTGCATCTCATTGCCCTGTCTCCCAAGTTCATTCCCACATGCTATTACCTCTGCTTTAACTGAGAATGCCCCAAACTGCAGGTTGGATCTTCTGCATTCAAAGCATGTTCTCAGTGCTCACTCATATTCTTCCATATATTACTACAAATCCCAGCATTCTTCAGGATTAGCCATGTTTGGATCTGTTGGGAATTGCAGTTCATCAATATCTAGAGAATCTACATCCTACTTACCTGTTAATGTTATTACTTTCTACAAACTGTAAGGCTATAATTGGGGACTTTTTTTCTTTCTCAACATAGTGTTACCATAAAAGAGGACTTGACCTGGGGTGCTCACATTGCAGCAGTGGTCAAAAGGGTCCAGCAGAGATTATACTACCTGAGACTTCTCAGAAAACAGCAACAGAATGAAAAACTGCTGGTGGCTTTCTACTGCTGCACCATAGAGAGTATCTTAACTTACTGCACCTCTGTATGGTTTGCCAATTGCACAGTGGCAGATAGGAAAGCATTCCAGAAGGTTACTGTCATTGCCCAGAAGATCATTGGTTGCCCTCTCCCCTCTTTGGAAGAGCTTTATAGCTCCCGCTGCCTTAAGAAAGTTCAAAACATTCTCAAAGATCCATCTCATCCTGGGAACCCTTTTTTTGAACTATTACCATCTGGCAGGTAAGGACAAATAGGCTGAAAAACAACTTCTATCCCAGGGCAGTAACTCTGTTGAATTCTACCATATAGTGCAATATTAATGCAATATCAGGGGTTTTCAATTCAATGTATAGAATGTGAAGGATGTATGTTTGTGTTTATTTTCAATCATAATGTACATTGAAGATGGTAATTTCATTGTACCAGGTGCAATGACATTAAAGTAAAGTAAAGTAAACTAAAATAGAATGTTGATTTAGGTTTGATTCTTCTTAAACTTGGCAGCTGAAAATGCAAAGGCAAATATAAAACGAAACTACTGGCAAATATTTAATTTCTTTTATCAGGCATGGGTTTCTAAAGAATGAAAAAGTCCCTCTCCATGGGATAATCTCTTAAGTAAACAGCGTGACTTACCGGAAATTGCAAATAGCAAGGGCTGTTTTCATCAAAATTTACAAGAAAGCAAAACTCTAGCTTTATCACGAAGTACTATTTTGCAGCTTTTATACAGCCTGCAATATAGAAAATAAAATTAGATGATCCAAAAAGCTTATTGAGCAGCTGCTCACTTTATAGGGGGAAAAATGTTCTTATTAAATCTTGAATTATGTAGAAGCTGTCTATTCATGATTATTGTATCACATTGTTTCCATTAAATTTAATTAAATATTGAATTATGGATTGCTCCAGTTTGGAATCTAGGATAGGACAGTGAGAAACAAAATTTGCAAATATCCTCAGTTTAATAAAAGAGATCCTGAAGATAGACAAGCTTAAGGGCCTTGCATAAGTGCACCATCATGCCTACCGTCCTATTGTCCCCATTTATCCGTACCTATTTCCTGTATTCATACTCATGTTTATTCTTATACCTATCATATTGTAAGCGATTGACAAATAAAATAAAATAAACTTATTTAAAATGTGCGCGCACACACACACACACACATACCCATTTTGCTAAGTGTCAAAGCCATGATCAGATGCCTAGACAATTGGCTCTTTTGGATGCAGAGACAATATACGTACCAGTAAATAAAGGATTTAAATCTTTATTAAACCTTTATTATTAGCTCAAGCAAACAAGATTTTGAAGCACAATATAAAAAGCATATGTACCAAGCAAAATGATACCCCAATCTCTTTTAAGTTGCCAGGAGCTCCTTAAGAGCAGAAATAATTTAAGAGTGATCAGTTTCCACACTACCCAATGCCAGGTTCTGTGCAGAAGCTGCCCACAAACAACCCCAACATTTTTTATCGAAACCTCACATCATGACTTCATGACTCTGCTATGGTCATGAAATGGCAAGACCTGACCTTGATTGGGTAGAACATGGCTCTGGAATGGGAATTAGAAGTTTGAGGTTTTTCACAATAAAGAACGTTTTTTTAGATACATAAAGATGCCCACTTCACCTTTATGCTCCTTGAAACAAGAACTTTTTTTTAAAAGCAGGTTAGCCCAGAATATGATCTAAACCAGGGCTGTCCAACCTTGGCCCCTTGAAGCCTGGCGGACTTCAACTCCCAGAATTCCCCAGCCAGCAAAGCTGGGAGTTGAATTCTGGGAGTTCAAGTCCGCCAGGCTTCAAGGGGCCAAGGTTGGACAGCCCTGATCTAAACCTCTAAACCAGGGGTGTTAAACTCTGGTCCACTGGGTGCTTAGATCTGGCCCATGTGGCCACCCTGGAAACAGTAAAGGCAGAGGTCTCCAAACTTGCCAACTTTAAGACTTGTGGACTTCAATTCCCAGAAGGCTGGAGAAATCTTGGAGTTGAAGTCCACAAATCTTAAAGTTGCTACGTTTGGGGACCTCCTGAGCAAAAGAGTGGCCCGGGGTGCCTCTGCCAATGAAAATGGAGCTCATGAGGGCTGCGTGCAGCCCTACTGAGCTCCATTTTTGCTGGCAGAAGGTTTCAGGAGGCTATCCCATCTGAAAACAGAACTCTTGAGGGCCGCACGTTCATCCCCCCACCCCAAACTCCATTTTCGCTGGCAGAGCACTCAGGTCACCCAGGCACAAGTGATATCATGCTGTCCACACCCACCCTGGCCACACACACACACCCCCAAGATCAAACACAACCCTGATGCTGCCCTCAATGAAATCGAATTTGACACCCCTGCTCTAGACTGTTCTTAATATGACGGCTAAATCAAAACATGTCACTAAAACACTTGAAAGAACAATGATCTTTTACAATGCAGCTATAGAAATGTGGAAAATATTTTCAGTGAAAAAAAATATATTTCTCCCAGTTATGATCTGAAAGGAAAAGGCCCATTCGTGCATTACCTAGACAATAACCTAGATCAGTGGTCACCAACTGGTGGTCCACGAGAAAAATTATGGTGGTCCGCAGAGAAATGTCCCTCCCAAGCACTCCCCCCAAAGCAATTAATCCAGGCTGCGCGGGAACACAAGGCTGCGTCACCCACATGGTCCACCCACCCTCTAGCCCCCATCCTTTGGTCAAGCGCAAATCTTGCCTTGAGTAGAGCCATGCAAGCTGGAACTGGAAGGTAAGACCAATGGCAAATCTGCCCTGGGGTGGCTTGCTGACGTTGGTGGGAAAATCAGTCCCATATTCCAGAGCTGCAGTAGTCACAGGACTGGCCCTTTGGTCATCCCGGAGCAGCTCCTCCAGTCCATGGCAGGCTGGTGCACCCAGGTGAAGGAGCAGCTCCTCTGGGATGACCAAAGGGCCAGTCCTGTGACTACTGCAGCTCTGGAATATGGGACCAACTTTCCCACCAACGTCAGTAAGCCACTGTCAGTCAAAATTCATATTAGTGGTCCCTGGGATTTAACATTATGAGTTTAGTGGTCCCTGAGGTCCAAAAGGTTGGCGACCCCTGACCTAGATCACAGTTCCTGCCTATCACAAGTTCTTTTTTGGCCATAGAAACACAGAATATCCTTTACCTCCCCCATGGTTGCAGATTGCAGATTCCTGCAAAGAGAAGCTTCCCATCTCCTGGCTGAAACTTTACTATTTCAGCATTAGGAACTTTCTTTTAAAACAGTCGCTTCTTTGCAGTTTCTACCTACTTGAGTTTACAAATATCCTCTGGAGCAAGGGTCTTCAAACTTGGCAAGTTTAAGACTTGTGGACTTCAACTCCCAGAATTCCTGAGCTAACATGACTGGAGGAGGAATTCTGGGAGTTGAAGACCACAAGTCTTAACACTTGCCAAGTTTTGAAGACCCTTGCTTTAAGATCTTATTCAGAGGCGTTTGCTTGAGCTCTGGGGTCTAGAATAAGTTGCAGTTAGATAATTCAGGAGTCCTTTAGTTCTAGAACAAGGGTCTTCATTCAAACTTGGCAAGTTTAAGACTTGTGGACTTCAACTCCCAGAATTCCTGAGCTAACATGACTGAAGGAGGAATTCTGGGAGTTGAAGTCCACAAATCTTAAAGCTGTCAAGTTTGAAGACCCCTGCTCTGGAAGACAGAAGACAAATCTACTATCTGGACAGTCACCCCAAAAGGGTGATCAATGAACAATCTTCCTAGTGACGGGACCCGTCCTCTTAGAAGATAGAGTCCCTTGAACTTTATAACATTTAAGACTTTGAATGCCAGTAGAGAGCTGGCAATGAGTGAACTTAGAACCCATTTTGAGAGGAGGGTTTAGGAGATTTTGAGAGTTTAAGTGCATTGCCTTCCAAGCAGATAATCCGTGTATTAAGTTCTTCTCGGTAATGAGATGCTGCTTCCTTGTTTGAAGAAATTTGAAGACTTTGTTTCAGCCACTACCTTCCTTAGGAATTGGTAGCACTAAATGTGAATTAACTTGCTTTTCCACTTTTTAACCAATAAGATCAGCCCTATTTTGGGGGGGAGGAGAGAGAGAGAGAGAGAGAGAGAGAGAGAGAGAGAGAAACTGTCTACTCAGACAGCAGGTGAGAAGCAATGATAGGCTGAAGAGTAGAATTTAATGGGCCATGAGCACTACACACTACCATCTAGGATAGTTTTGCTGTCTTTAATTGTATAACTTATTTCCATCAGTTCCTATATATTGAACAATACTGCTTCTGGCACAAAAATGTCATATACCAACCCCATTTCTACCATCCTTTATTCTGCAAAGGAAATAGTGAGGTATCAGTGCTCACCGCTTACTGAATGAGTTCAAAAGCTTGGCTTTCCCATCTGCCCTTCACCTCTATTTGTACAAATAGACTTGCCAAATTGAGTACAGGTATAATTAGGCCCAGGGCTCTTCTCGGTAGTCAGAATGATCATTGACCTTCATTTGCCATCGTTTTGTTTATTGTCCTTTTAATATTTAACAAAAATGAACAGGATAAAAGACTTGATTCTGGGTCTGATTTCTTTTTAGTAGACCTACCACCATGTCTACTTCTTTGCTTCTTATAGGAGTTCTCTGCATTTTAGGAGCAAATAGTTTTGCCTCAGTAGGGAAAGCAAGGTAAGTTCATTGTACAGGATAGAGATAACATTTGGTAGCATTTGTGCGTGATCATCTCCAAATTTCCTGGTACTCAATTTTTAGTTTCTGGAAGAGAGAAGGTAAGAGAATGACCTGCTTTCTGCCATTTTCCAGATGTGTCTGAACAATCCTATTGAATGCAATAGAAATTATTTCCATGCATAAAAGTATCAAACTGTTAAATCAGCATTATTTTATTAATAACAGATTGTTAAAATTTATGTATTTCTGAACTGGTTTGTGAAATGGGAATTTCAAACCAAAAATCAAATATTTTTTACATTAGAAATATTCATAGAAGTATAATTTAGTCAAATTCTGACACTACTTTATATAATCTATTTGTTCTTTTCCAACTTGCCCAAATTGCATCTCACAAATGTAACTTATATTTGTCCACACATTTTATTCTTACTAAAATAAAATAATAAAATAAAATAAAATAAAAGGGAAGGGAAGGGAAGAGAAGGAAGGAAGGACTTTGAAGTTACATCTCTCTAATTTGAGTGAAGGGATTTATACTTAGCAAATGTACAAACTGGAACACAATATCTGATACTCAATACTTGGTAGGACTTTGCTGTTAAGTGTTGACATTCTAAAACTTGGATGGATGAGGCCAACCTCAACCTCATCTAAGGTTAATTTCAAGGATAAATAGCCAATTTATCCATGGTGTGCTGACAATAAACACAGGACAAAGGCAACTGTTTGCCTCTTACCTTGGGTCCTACTTATTTTTCCTACATCCGTAGTACAAAGAAAGTGTCTGAGAATTCTTTAGAAATATGAATGTACAAACCCATCAAATCATTTTTAAAAGCTTCTTCAGGTAATATCTTTCTTGTTTGAATTCTGTTTTTTAAAAAAGAATTGCGCTTAAAAACTGTAAATCATTTGCAGAAATCAAACCCCTTTTTCCCTATGATTATGGAGTTTTCAATATTCCAAAATGCAGCTTCTGTAGAATCTTGAAATCAAGTGTTCTCATGCAAAGTTATGTACCAAATGATCACAATGAGATGGCATGCAACTAAATGAGTAGGCAAACAAAGTCATATTGTTCCCTCTCAATATGTAGATACAAACATTGTACATATAAAGAGTGTTAAACCAGAAAGATTTCAATTTACTTTACTTTACTCCAAGGGTGACCCGAGAACCTAACGCTCCAGAGCCCATTGACTGCTCGCTGACTGCCTGGACTGATTGGGGGCCATGTAATCCATGCTCAGAAGAAAGTGTAAGTAGTTTTTCCATAATTTATCTTGCATTAAAAGGGCCTCATAAAGAAAATTCATTTATGAAGTATAGGCTCCTTGGTGCAGATTAGTTTCAAATAGTAAAAGAAAAAGGGCGTTCTTGTTTGGAATCACTGGTTGTCCACTAATTATAGTGTTAAATTTGAATGGATGGTAAGAGATCACCCTTTAAATCCTTTTCACAGTGTAAATGTGTACATTTTTGGTAGCTATGAAGATGCTCAGTCATCCAGGTCATGGTTGTCCCAAAGGTGCTTTTTCAACTGGACTTTCTGGTTTTTCTTTGAGGATGTTTCACTTCTTATCCAAGAAGCGAAACCTGAAGAAGCTTCTTGGATGAGAAGCAAAACATCTCAAAGAAAAACCAAAAACACCTTTGGGACATTTTCAGTAGCTGTATATTGGCTTTCTCAACAGCAACAACTCTAAGATGTATGGACTTCCTTCCGAATTGGATATCCACACATCTTAAAATTTGCTAGGGTTGAGAAACATAGGTGTAGATGGTCATCCAATGATTGAGTGATAGTCTGTCCTCCTAATGGCAATAGCAACAGCACTTAGACTTATATACCACTTCACAGAGATTTTGCAGCCCTCTCTAAGTAGTTTACAGAGTCAGCCTATTGCCCCTAACAATCTGGGTCCTCATTTTACCCACCTCGGAAAGATGGAAGGCTGAGTCAACCTTGAGCCTGGTGAGATTTGAATTGCCAAATTGCAGTCAGCCAGTGTCAGCACTGCACCACAGTGTTGAACCTTGAATTTTCCAACCTTTCTATTTTGGGATAATAAAATATGTTTCCACTTCTTTCAGCTTGCATATTTTTTTTATTTATTTATCATCTTTTGAAACAGCCCATCTCCCTCACAGAGGGATGTTGGGTGGTGCACAAATAAAACATTAAAACATAAAAGTATATCAAATCTAAAATTTATACAGCGGCAAGTATGATTAAACTTCAATGTTAATCATTAATTAAAAGGCAGAGCGAATGAACATGCTAACAAGCCAGGGAGTTAGTTAGCCCATAAATTAAAAATAGAAAGGGAGAAAAAGCTGATACAGGAGTTGAAAGATGATAATGGAAATTTACAATATGAAATGGTAAAGAAGAAAAGAATAGTGCAGAATTATTTTGAAGGATTGTACAAAGAGGAAAAGGTAAATAAAGATAATATAGAACAATACCTGAAAGAGAATGGTCTACCGCAGGCTTGTCCAACCCGCGGCCCACGGGCCGCATGCGGCCCAGGTCGCCTCGTAATGCGGCCCAACGCCCACCCCAACCTTCATGAAAGATACAGCGAGGAGGAGGAGGAGAGGCAGGCGCGAGGCGGGGCGAGGCGAGCAACAGAAAAGGCGGGCAGCCGCAGCCCAAAAGTCCTGCCCCGCCACCTCCTGCTGTTGCCGCCGCCACCGCTGCTGCTTCTGCCCCTGCCGCCGCCGCTGCTGCTTCTGCCCCCCACCACCACCACCGCCGCTGCTTCTGCCCCCGCCACCGCTGCTGCATTTGCAGGAGGAGAGGTAGGCGCGAGGCGGGCGAGCTTTCTTCCCCCCTCTCCCCCCCACCCCACAAAATTTGGCCGGAAAATTATAAAATAAAAAATAAATAATTTTTAATAAATAATTAATAATAAATAATAATTTTATTTTATTATTTTATTAATTTAATTTAATTTAATTTAATTTGATTTGATTTAATTTGATTTGATGATTTGATTGATTTGATTTGATTTGATTTGATTGATTTGATTTTGATTTAATTAATTATTTAATTTAATTATGTGCGGCCCAAACCAAATTTTCATCTTCTAATGTGGCCCAGGGAAGGTGAAAGGTTGGACACCCCTGGTCTACCGGAAATAAGAGAGGAACAGAGAGATATGTTAAATAAAGAAATAACAGCTATTGAATTGGGTATGGCAGTGAAAAAACAGAAAAATAACAAAACTCCGGGGCCTGATGGACTTCCTGCAGAAATTTACAAATGTTTATATGAGTGTTTCAAACCAGTGATGTTAGATCTGTATAATGATGTATTGGATCATGCTAAATTACCCTAATCATGGAACAAAGCATATATTTCATTCATCCCCAAAGAAGATATGGATCACAAACAAATTAAAAATTATAGGCCAATCTCATTATTGAACGTAGATTGTAAAATCTTTACTAAAATAATGTCTGAAAGGTTGAAAATAGTATTGAATGAAATTATAGACCAGAATGGTTTTCTACCTTCCAGGTGGATAAAAAATAATACAAGAATAGTGTTAAATGTACTAGAATATTATGAGAAAAATGTACTAGAATATTATGAGAAAAGCAGGCAGCACTGATCTTCTTGGGTGCTCAGAAAGCATTTGACAATCTTAATTGGCAGTTTTTAATTCAACAGGTAAAGGATATGGGTTTGAACAAAATTTAGAAAAATGATAGGTACAATATACTCAAACCAAAAAGCCAGATTGATCATAAATGGAGAGAGCACTGAAGAGTTTTAAAATAATGAAAGGAGTGTGGCAGAGATGTCCAATGTCACCTCTACTTTTTATCTTAATGCTAGAGGTGCTTTTAACCCAGATCAGACAAAATATGGAAATAGGAGGATTGGGGATTAAGAGAAAAGAATATAAGGTACAGACATTTGCGGATGACTTGGTGTTCTTTATTGAAGAACCAATTGAGACAGGAGATAATTTGTTACAAGAATTAGAGAGATATGGGGTGGTAGCAGGATTAAAAATTAACAAAGAAAAAACAAAAATACTAGCCAAAACTTTGACAGAAAAAAAAAAAAAGAGCTAGAAGGAAAGATGGGATTGCAAATTGTAAAAAAGATCAAATATTAGGGGATCTGGCTAATGGGGAGGTGTTCTTCTATAAAAGAGGACAATTATAAGAAATTAATCCAACAGATAAAGATTTAACAAATTACAATTATATTTATTAGGAAGCATAGCAATGATAAAAATGAATGTCTTACCAAAACTATTGTATTACTTCCAGACAATTCCTATAAAATTATACAAGACATTTTTTTGAGGAACTGAATTTATATGGCTGGGTAAAAAGCACGAATAAGTTTAAAGATGCTACAGGATAGTATAAGTAGAGGTGGCCTTGGACTCCCAAAATGGGAATTGTATTATCAGGTGGCAGTTCTAATGTGAGTAAAGGAGCAGATAAATTTAAAAAGTAAAAGAATTTTAGCAATCGAGGGCCACGATCTACAAGCAGGATGGCATGCCTTTCTATGGGACAAAAAAAAAATAAGACTCATTCATACTTTCACAGACATTTGATAATGCAAACATGGGAAACAGTAAAAAGAAAACATATGAAATTACCGAGCTGGGTTTCACCTATGGAAGCAATATTATATCCAAACACAAGGGATAAAAAGAAAAATGATTAGATATGAAGAAGTATTAGATAACCAGGGAAACCTAAAAACAATTGAAGAATTAAAAGAACAGGATATAATTATAGATTGGTAGTCATATCTACAAATTCAGACAACATTCAGAAAGGATTTAGAAGAACATGGGATTGAAAAAGATCTACAACTAGACCAAATGTTAACAGGCAAGGAGGAAAAAAATCATAACAAGAATGTATAGTTATTTATTGGAAGTGGAACTAGAAGAAGAGATTGTGAAGGGACCAATGATTACCTGGGCAAGAAACGTAGGTCATAATATAAAATTAGAAGACTGGGAAAGAATGTGGATTAATAATTGTAAATTAACATTGTCAACAGCATTTAAAGAAAATCAGTACAAAATGTTTTACAGATGGCATTTAGCCCCAGCAAGACTGGCTAAAATATATCCAAATATAAAATCAGATTGTTGGAAATGCAAACAAAACGAGGGAATTTTTTCATATGTGGTGGCAATGCCCAGAAGTAAAAAAAAAAAATTGGATGAGGATACAAAGATGGCTACTAGAAATTATAGAACACCAATTAGAACTTAAACCGGAAATATTTTTATTAGGAATAATTAAGGGAAAATTTAGCAAGTCTATCCAATACATCATTATACATATTATAACGGCGGCGAGGATAGCTTTTGCACAGGGCTGAAAAACAAAAAAGATACCATCCAAAGAGAATCTGATACAAAAAAGAATGGACTGTGCAGAAATGGGTAAATTCACAATGGAATTAAAAGGCAAGGATGAATCGTACTATTAGGCGGTTTGGGATAGGTGGTATAAATGAGTAGAATATAGAAATAAGAATTGATGTATAAGTATAAAAACAAATATATGTATTACTAATGACACAATGCTGTTAATGTATAAATAGAGATTTGTAATTTTGTTTTGAAAAATAAAATAAATAAAAGTGTATATATATATAAAAGGCAGAGCGAGGGCTTTCAAGACAAGCCTCATTTTCCCCAGCCGTTCATCCCCTCCACAGCTGACTGATTCTGAGCCTGTTTTAATGTAGTTTTTAATATCTCCCACAAGCACCGCTCAAGGAGTATTGAGAAGTTTGGACAGTTTGGAGGAAAGCCATGCATTGTGTCTCTGAGTGATAGACAGCACTGTGAGCCAAAAAGTCCCTGTCCAGATGAGAGAGGTCAATGTAAGGATCAAGAGTTTGAATGTGAAAATGGTAAGTATGGAGAATCTGACATCATTTCTCTACTGCCATCACTGACTGTAGTGGTCTGATGATAAGATGAAGATTCAGAGCCACATCATGATGGTTTAAATCTCTAGGACAGGGGTGTCAAACTCTCAGCACGCAGGCTGGATGCGTCATGTGCTTGCCCCACCCCTGCCTAGTTTAGTGAAGGGGGAAAAAAGTCCCAATATGTCATGTGACGACACTGTGATGATGCGAGTTTGACACTCCTGCTCTAGGACAATGGGCCTCTTTGCAAGGAAAGACTCCAGAATCACCTTCCAGAAAATTACAGATACGTTCTTGCTTGCTTTTAAGCTGAAAAAAAGCAGCTTTCTCCCATTCTACATTTTTCCTCAGCTTGCATTGCACAGTATGACATTGAATATTCTGTTTGCTAATATTATTTTTGTAACAATATTTTCTTTATGCATGCTTTTTATAAGCCACGTTTTGATGGGAGAACCACACTGCAATGTTCAGAGAAATGTTAAATATCAAAGTGTTATGATGTTTCCTGTTTAAAAAGCTGAAGATCTTGCTCAGTTTCAGTATACTTTAATCAACAATATGTATTATTTTCACTGCATGATTATATTATGATGATTGTTGTTTTTCCCCAAATAAAACATTTAAAAAATATTTTACATTACATATAGGTGTAGCTAGATTTGCACTGAAATGCACCATATCATTCAAACAAGCATTCTACTATTTTTCCCCCCAAGGCAAATTAACACTAAATCAATCGTTCTGATATAAATGGCACTTTGTTTTATTTGGGCTGCAAATTTGGGGAGTTGAAGTCCAATACACAACCGGGAAAGGCAGAGTTGATTTATGAAAGTATTCTACATACCCAATTACCTATAATTATAGATGATTCATTCTTTGTTCTACACTAAGGATATTGTCTAAAGAATAGGCTGGTATGTAACACAGAAAATGACTGTGGTGACTTCTCTGATGAAGATAATTGTGACGAAACCAAACGCCCACCTTGTGGGGATCGTGACATTGACGTATCAGAACTTGGAAGAACAGCTGGACAAGGGTAAGTTTTAGAAAATGTTCACGAGAAGAATACAAATTGCATGTTGTGCTACCTGATAAGGCTGGAATCCTCAAAATGGTTTTTAAGAATGCAAAAGTTCTGCACATTTTTTTTCGTTCCACTAAGATCACATTCCTATCTGATTTACACACACACATACACACACACACACACACACACCCTTAGAAGTTAATTGATTTCCTTGATTTTGCTCTGGCCTGTCATGTACTTTCTGCTAAGCATCATAAGACATTTCTATGATGTGAACATTTTAAAAAAAATTGAACATATAATAGTGATCAGCTGGTGTGTAGTGCCACAGACCTTTTATGGTGTGTAGTGCCACAGACCTTTTATGGTGTGTAGTGCCACAGACCTTTTATGGTGGGTATTGCCACAGACCTTTTATGGTGGGTATTGCCACAGACCTTTTATGGTGGGTAGTGCCACAGACCTCTTATCAATTATATTTGCTTTCTGATCCCATGTTTCAACTTCATGATGATGTGAGGTCTTCATTATTTTCAGCTGCTTCTACATTGGGAAGACCAGACTTGCCCGTCAATGATTAGAATTTTCTATCTGCTAACATTGGCATCTTATGCAAAGCCAATTTTATTTCTTCTGTTTTGTACTGCTGCCAGCATGCCAGATTAGAACAAATCAATCCAGCCTAGATCTTAACAGAAATGGATCGGATTCAGCCACTCTTTTCTAGCTAAATGAAAACCTGTTCCAAATTATCTTGATCTGCTTTAGAAAGGGGCTTCAGATTAATCCAATGTAGCCCATTAATGGATAAACATGCAGTGGTGGGATTCAAATTTTTTTTACTACTGGTTCTGTGGGTGTGGCTTGGTGGGTGTGGCTTGGTGGGCGTGGCAGGGGAAGGATACTGCAAAATCTCCATTCCCTCCCCACTCCACTAACCTGCTTTCCAGCTCCATTCTCCTGTGAAGGGCAACAAAAGAAGACCCAGGAAATCAGCTGGGACTTGGGGGGCAGATAATAGATGGGGGTGGGGCCAGTCAGAGGTGGGATTTGCTGGTTCTCCGAACTACTCAAAATCTCTGCTACCGGTTCTCCAGAACTGGTCAGAACCTGCTAAATACCACCTCTGATGTAAACCCATATGATAATTTGGATTGTGATCCTTGAAACAATGTGATCTTATGGGTTCCAGGAACTATACTTTCCTTCTGGCACTTACCCTCTGGAATGATATCCCTACACACACACACACACACACACACACACACACACTTTTGAACAGGTCTCACCATAAGTACATTCTGAAAATCATTAGAAACTTGCCAGGCTATGGAAAAGGGTCACTGTATAATCCTCATAACTTTGACTTTTTACTGGTTTTCACTGGCCAGCTAAGGATTCTTTTGTAAGTCTTCTTCTCTATTCTATTATTTGTAAGCTACCTAGAAATATTAAGGAGTCAGAGAGGCTCAAAACTGAGTTAAATAATTGCTAAAGTCTACCAGGCAATGTATGCTAATATGTAAGTCAAGATAATACTCTTTGTTTGTGTGAATTTAGTGGTTACGTTACCTGGCTAGAAACCAGGAGTGAGTTCTAGTCCCACTTTAGGCATGTATGTTGCATGGATGACTTGGCACCAGTCACTTTTAAGCCCACAATATTATTATTTTTTGAAAATTTTATTTGGGTTTTCACAAAAACAAAATACAAATAAAACATCTTTTTTGAAAATAGCATGGTCCCAGGTTATCACTTCTTCATACAGACACAAAACTCAATTTCATGCTCATTTTTATATTCTATTCCATATCTTATTACCATTTTATATTTTCTACATAGTTTTTCCCCTCTTCTAATTTTCTCAACTTTGTTTTGATTATCTCAATTCAAATCATTATATTTATACTTTTGTCTGTCCTGTTACAATTTCACATTATCTTTTTTTATTAAACAAATTTTTCCCTGTAGTTACCAATTAGAGTATGACACCTTTATATCCTTTAATTTTATCCATTCAAGCTCTTATTTAAGCTTCAATGTATAGCTTTAAGATTATAGCATTCAATACATAACTTCCAATCGAATTCTGCTTGGTACATTCTTAAAATAGACACTATATTCTTAAAAAGAAAAATTATACATATATATACATATATATATATGTATGTAAATAAAACACATTCCATTCCAATTCAATTTTATCATTAATATGCATTAAAATCTTAACATCTTTAACATTTCTTTTCAATTGAATATCATACTTCCTTGGGAGCACTTATAAACTTTCCATAGTTAATTTTTTTCCATATTTCTCACTTATATTTTTATAAATCATTACTAATAATTTAAAATGTTCCCTTTTAATTCTCTCAATCATTTTAATTCATTTATTTATTAACAAACATCCCACTGCATTACAATAAATATTTTATCCATCATCATATTTTCTAAAGTTATTTCTATTTGTAATATAACAAAGCTATCTTATGTACCTTTGCAGAATCCCTTTTACAATTAAATTTTCACCCATTATCTCTAAACAAACTTATGGTTACAATCCTTATATCTTTTCCCTGTTTTTCCATTTCTTGTTTCTGTCTTTTACAACTTCTTTTCCTTGCCTTCTTCCTCCTCTTCTTCTCCCTCCCCTTTTTACCCCCTCGTCTCTCTACTTCTAACTCTCTCATCTGTAATCCCCTCTTCTGTTGCTTTCTAATATTATACTTATCTTTCAAATTGTTCTTCTTCTTTTTGGTTGTTTTTTCTAATCTTAAACCTTTCACTCTCTTTCCCCACTTTTCTTTTTTTCCCCCACTTAAAATTATTTGATCATTAAAGATGGCTTCTTCTTTGTCCCAATCTTCTTGTTCTGCAAGTGTTTCTTGTTGCTTCTCATAGTTTCAGATCTCCATTTCTAAGAATTGAAACACAAAGCCAAAAGAATTTCTCCCTTCTTGTGCGTCTTCTTTCCATTTTTAAGTTCCGTTTTCAGTTCTTCTAAGAGTGATACCATTTTAAAAACTTTTAAACAACCACCCAGTTAATTTTAGTCATCTAGATGCAAAAACCAAAAATCACCAAGTAATCCAAATAATCCAAGGCTGTTTCTACTTGCTTCTTTTTTCCACTTTCTCTTCCTGGGGTTCTTTTATTTTGTTACCAAATTTCCATTAAAATGTATCTTTGAGGAATCTTGTTAAAATTTCACTGTAAGTTCCTTTTAATTACAGTTCCATTCCTTAATTCCAGGCAGTCTCCTCCATTTTTCTAGATCCTGCCCTTCTATTCTTTTTTTTTCTCCTTTCCAGTTTTTAAAAACTTTTAAATGTCCAGAAATCTTTATTTATCCCTTTGACTTTTATTTTCAGCTTAGATGCCTATTAATGTCAAAGTGGAATTTTTTTTTCAGTTTCTTGCTTAAGTCTCCTAGCTGTCAGTATAAGGAAGGGAAGAAAAAAAACCTAATCCTTTCCCTTCTCTCTCTCCTTCGCAGCTTCAAAATCTTCTTTGGGAACAATGTTGTTAAGTTTAAATTCCAGGGTACCTTATTTGTTGCTTTTGCTGTTTGACCCGGTCAACCAAAACTTTCTCTTCTTATCTTCCTCCTGCACATTCTTTTCCGGTCGAGTTCTTCTTTGTGGTGGCCATTTCTTACCACCGCTACAACCGCCTTCGGGAAAGGGAGTAATGGCCAGCTGGGGAGGAGAGATGCGGCTCTCCTCAACCCTGAAGGCAGTCTCCCCCCTCTTCACCACCTCTATGGGGTGGCTTAGCCCCAAAACCAGCCGGCTCGGGGCGCTCCAGTGGCGAGCACGGATTGAAGCCTCGGAGAGATGAGGTTTCGGTTTGTCACCGAAGAAGCTCAAACCGGAAGTCCCACTTTTAAGTCCACAATATTATGCGTGGGTAACAAACCAGTTCATCAGGGGTTTTTTGTTGTTGTTGTTTTTTGTTTTTGCAACCAATGGATCAACATGGATGTGATAAAAATGAATATTTGGGAAAATGCTAGGAGAAAAAAAGCAAATCTTTGTTATTTTTATATATATTGCTAATTTGTCTGTTATATATCTACCGATTTGTTGTATTGGCTTGATATTTCTGATAGTATATGACATTTAATAGTGCAATGGGGATGATTAATCTTCCTTCCTTCCTTCCTTCCTTCCTTCCTTCCTTCCTTCCTTCCTT